GCTTCGGTCGCGGGTCTGTCCCTGATTGCCTTTGCTTTTCGCAGACTCGGAGGAAGCCAGCATGGACGCAGAAGTCCGGAATCCACCCGTGGGTTGCCAAGGCGAAGACGAAAATGGCTCGCTTTCCGCTGAGAAGCCCTCGGAGCCGGATGAGCCCCCGAGCGACCCACCCGATTTGGAGGCCTCCGTGAGCAACGGGGGTGAATCCGAGATGGAAAAGGAGTTGGTCGAGTTGAAAATTATCTGGAACAAAAATAAGTACGACTTGAAGTTCCCTCTTGACAGCACAGGAGCAGACCTGAAGCTGAAAATCCACTCGCTGACAGGTGAGACCACCGCCTCTTGTTTCCTGGAGAAGCAGCTCAGCCTGCCTTGGGAAGACTCCTGTTTTAAGCGCTCCCTGTTGGTTTCCTCTTTGGCAGGCCTTCCACCTGCAATGCAAAAGGTCATGTTTAAAGGACTGCTCCCAGAGGAGAAAACCTTACGAGAAATTAAAGTGATCAGTGGAGCAAAAATAATGGTGGTGGGCTCGACTATCAATGATGTCTTGGCAGTGAACACACCAAAAGATGCTACTCAGCAGGAAGTGAAGTCAGAAGAGACCAAAAAAGAGCCTCTCTGTAGACAAAAGGTTAGTTGGAGCCACCAGCTGATACGAGTAGTTTGAAGGTGATTTTGACTTTCCAAATAAGGTAAAACTGTTTTTGAATCATAGAAAAGGGGTTCTTTATATTTTGTTAAACTTTGTACGTTGATATTCCTTGTTCTCCATTAGTGCTCTAATTTTAAGATTAGTGGAAGCAATCTTAACAGTAAATTCATCACCTCAAGGCTACCAGCATGTTCAGAGACAGGCACTTAACTTTCTCTTTAACTTGTACAGAATCCACAGATTGGCAAAACTAGTTCAGTAGTGCATTTTGGTCACCAAATGCGCTGCTGCTTTTTGAGTAGTCTATCTGACATGTCTCCTTTGATGCTTTCAGTTGGTGGTTCTAACCACTAGTAGGCTTTGAGACTGGTGATGTTTGGAGGAGGATAGTCCGTGCTTATGTGTCATTCTTCATATATAGATGGTGTCAGGTGATTTGCCTAACATATTCTGATAGGTTAGGGGAACATTCCTTTTCTGAAACTCTGCCAGTTAATTTTGCCAGCAGTGAGCAAAAGAACCTGTTTCCCAGAAAAAGCATTTTCTTACAATCCTATCTTTTTTTTCCCCTTGCTTTTATTTTCTTGTCACCGCACTGGCTTGTTTACAGGTAGTATCCAAGGCTTCATTTTTTAATTATTAAGCAATTGAGCAGACATAGACAGGCTATTTGCAACTTTCCAAAGCCTTTGGTTGGTTCACCATAGGTTATTTATAGCTGCTTTGCTCATTTTTGTTGGCTCTTGTTATTGTGAGGGTTTTTTGTCACTGTTGCTAATGTTGCCCATGATCTCTCATGTCTTGGCACTATCTCCTCCCCACCTGCTCCTCTTGTGGCTGATGTGTAGCAGCTCCAGCTGCCACTAGTCATTTGTTGATTTTTGCTTCTTTCTGCAAGCCCAACCACCTTGATCCTGTGATCATAGAACCCTCTAGCTGCAGTACATCAGAGTGTACACAAGCAGATGTTCCAGATGTTTTGGTCTCCCCATTCAGAGGTTCTGTGAACACCTGCATCAAGATTGTTGTGCAGTGCAAAAAGCTACAGAATGTTGAAAGCAGAAGTTACAGCCTAGTTTTGCAGCCTCACAGCTCTGTAACCACATAGAAAGTTATGCATTGACGGAAGTAAGAACATATTCCTTCAACTCAGTCTTTGAGTCTGAAAAGGTTGCCGGTCCCATCTAGAATTTCTGTGCAACTTCAGCCAGATTGTTTGCTGGGAAAATGTGAATTCTGTTCCATAAGAAAGAAATACCGATAGGATGAGAACAATTTGTGTGTCTTTTAATTAGTGTCTGTTTGCACCTTAATTGTAGGGTTGAGACCTAAGTAGGTGCTTCCTTCTGACTGAAGACTGTGCATCTGGGAATTTTTAGATCTCTCACTAATGTGCTGGCAAGTAAGCAGACTGGAAATCTTGCAAAGTTTCTATCATTCTTCAGTTAATTCTGATTTCTGCTTTACAGCAACACAGGAAAGTCTTGGATAAAGGGAAACCTGAAGATGTAATGCCTTCTGTCAAGGGTGTCCAGGTAAGGAAACAGGAGTCGAAAGGCCAATGGGTAGCAACACTAACTGTTCTTTTCATACTGATGGGCACTAAGAGAACATAGCATTTCTCTCTTGTACTGTAACTTGCTTTGTTCATAGAAAGCTTGTGTTCTGAACCTCTTTAGGAGCGTCTGCCAACCGTTCCTTTATCGGGCATGTACAACAAGTCAGGTGGAAAAGTGCGGCTAACCTTTAAACTTGAACAAGATCAGCTCTGGATTGGCACTAAAGGTGCGTGCCCAAAATGTGTGGTTGTTCAGATCCTGAAAGCTTAGCTTTGCAGGATAATTAGTACTTTGGGAACTGCTGACTTAATGCATTTGAGTTTATGAGCCTCATTGAATCTAATTTACCTGTGAATAAACCTGTTTAAGTTGCTCCGTTTTGATTTGTGAGCAATGTGTGAAGCTTGGAGAACCAAAACATTGGTGATGGGAGTATCTTTAACTGTCCTTGGACTTGATGCTTGGGGCAGAGGTCTGCAGTTTTGAGACACAGGTGGGCAGCCTCAGGACAGTATGTTACCCCTTTGATACTGTTGTGTGGCACTTGAAGCCCGTAGCATCACTCTGCTGAAATGCAAGTGAAATACTTTCTCTTGTGGTTCATGCTATGTGTAATTTGATGGGAAGAGAAAGACACTGATTTTTATTTTTCATGATAATTTTCTTTTTTAAAAAAAGACTCTTCCTGGCCCTACCTGCTCTCATGTCACTACCAATCCCCTTTGGTAAACTGTACCTTTGTGAGGTTACCAATTAATAGTTCCATAACCCAGAAAGGCAAAGTCACCAAATAACTCCCTGTAGCAGATTAACAGTGTAGCTGAATATATATCTTCTCCTGGGTAAGCCCCATTGCAGCCTGAAATGCTAAACAAGATGTAATTGTGAAGCTTCAATAAAAAGAATTGTATGATGGAATTTACAGAGCTGTTAAGTGTTGTTTCAGTTACATGTTTTAAATGGAGATGTTTTCTTGTTTGGTGCTGTTAAGCGTTACTGCTCTTGCTGATTGTTTATCTTTCAGTTGCAAATATTGTTAATTCAGTTTTTAAATACATCTACTTCTCATGTGCAGTAATGTATGCAAGCTTAATTTTGGCTGAATAGTATATATTCTGCAGGATTTAAGCATATGTTTAATGTTAGTTCCTTAGAGCCTCATTGAATTGAGTGGAATAACATTGTAGTAAATAAATCAAATGAAAAATAATTATCTCCTAATGGGATCAATGGGCACAGAATGCTTTGCTCTGCTAAGCTCAAAGATTTATGCTTCTTTTTTTCATATTGCAAAAAAACTCAATGTACTTTGTCTGGTATAGTTTACCTTTTATTAGTGTTATATTGAGCATGGTTCAGTAATTTTGTTTGTCCACTTATTGATATTATCTCTTCTGAAACAATGATTTTGTTTTAAATAAATGGAGAATGCTTTGCTCCAGTAAATGCACAGTTTGGTAATCTTTGTTATTATCTAATTGTCTGATTATAGCTAAGCAGTTGATAATTTGGGTTCTTGTTGTACTCTGAGCTTGGTTGTTCCTGCAGACATTTCTGTTACCAGTCTAGATAACATCAGTGCATGGGAGAGTGAAGTTTGCTGGTGGTTTATACATAGATTAGTTCTCTCTTAACATCCATTTGTTCAGCAACCATTTGAAGTGATGATGGCACTTAATGAAGGGACTTATGACCACTCCTCAAAATTCTGGCCGGTCACGTGAACAAACTTTGGGCCCATCCACATTTACAATCACCTTTTGGCCACCCACCTACCTGCTGCCCCTGCTGCTGTCATGCCAGCCACATTGCACACCACTACTGTACCGGCCAGGGCCTTCTTTTGCTCTGGGCTTCTTTCGCGAAAGAGGGCCCTGGGCGGGGCACAAGAGAAGCCCTGGCTGCACTGGTGCAAAAGAAGGTGGTGTGAAAGAAGGCCCCACCTGGTACAATGCAGCAGGCAGGGCTGGGCAGTGGAGGCAGCAGATAGGCAGCCAAAAGGGCAGAGATCAGGAGGGAGATAGGTGGGTGGGGGGAGTTGAAGAGGAAGCAGTCCCTTACCTTACTGAGGCTCAGGCTGGGAGGGACCAAGCTGGGAATGGCTTGTATCGGAGTGGGTCCTTGTCTAATGACTGGTGGGATTCAGTGAACGACGGCAATGGGGACTGCCAGGATTGCCATCACTAAGCGATGCAGTCACGTGATGTCACACTTTACGACCACATTGCTTAGTGGTGGAAATCCAATCCCAATTACTGTCGTTAAACAAGGACTATCTGTGGTAGCTTGTCTTGACAGTCTTAGGTGGGGTGTTCCACTATCAAGGAAGAAATCACACCCCAACTAAGATCGGCAAGGCAAGTTGCTGTATATAAACCATCAGTAAATGCTATTCTTCCATGTCCTGATGATGTCATGTAGCCTGGTAACAAAAAATCTACAGGAAAATAACCAAGGTCAGAACACCAAGAACCCACAATTTGATTTAGATATTAGCTACCATTGGAGTTGATCATTTATTCAGCCATAGACTGCATGTCCAGTAAGACAGATTTAGTGACGGTGTTCTTACCTTGTCCTTTTAAGATAAGCTTGGTAGATGGGAGGAGAGAATATTGGGAAATGTGGAACATCAGTTATCCAAAGTGATACTTTTTCTTTCATCGTAGAAAGAACAGAAAAGTTACCCATGGGATCCATCAAGAATGTGGTGAGTGAACCCATTGAAGGACATGAAGATTATCATATGATGGTAAGTGGCTTCAGCTGAGAAATTAAGTCTTCCCATGGACAAAGACAATCAGCTTTAGGGGCTCCAGTGGAGGTTTATCTATGGAGGAAGCAGTTCTTTATACAAGTGGTAGCTTGGTCCCTCAACAAGTCATATGTATTCATGTGTGTTAGCAACTTTAAAATATTAAAGACAGTTGGATCTCTTCTGCTTCTTTGCTGTAATAATCATCCTTGGTAGTTAGCTAGCTCTTGCCTTCACTTTCACTCTCTCCCATCTGCAGTCATCCCAAGTCCCAGATCAACTGACTCTCAAATGACTTGGTCTCCAACTGCTGCTGCTGGATGCCATGTCAGCCTGTAATAGAGCTCTGTCATCCATTATTGTATTATGGCAGATCTGGAATGTATCACCAAGATCTGGATGAGCACAGAAGGGGTTTTGGGCTAGCAGCAGCCGGATTCCAAGGCTGGGGGAGGGGTGGAGTGGCTGTTGTCATGTTAGAGATTCGGATGCCTCCTGGAGGCACTGTGCCCAAAGAATCCAATGTGAGACCTTCCTGTCAGTCAGGATATTGCTCCAGTCCTAGCCCGTCTGCTGTATAGCAGCTTCCCTGCTCAAGGCTTGACTGCTGGTGGAGTCTCCTGGAGCCATCAAGACTGAGTGACTCGCCTTCACTCAGTACAGAATCTGAAGCGGCTCAGCAGTTCATGGCTAGCATGACAACCGTGGACTGGATACAGATCACCCGACACACTTTGGTGGGCACACCCTGGATCTGTTTTATCCCAGGGCAGTTGCAACGTGGTATGCTGGAGAACATTAATGTAACGCCTGCTCTTTGTTGTGGTCAGACCACTGCCTGGTTGTCCTGGAGCTTCTTGAATCTTCACTTCAGGCGCCTGACCCATCCAGTAAATATTCAGAGTGTGCTTGGGGAATTTTCTGAGGCTCTGAGGGGCAGTCTGACCATAGCCTTAGTCACCACTTGAAATGAGGAGGTTACAAAGACCTGGAATTGGATTGTTCCTGAGTAGCCTCTCTTGTATGCTGATCTTAGGGCCCCCTTGGCTTTCTGAGGAGCTTCAGGAAATGAAGCAGCAGAAGGATACCTAGAGTGCTGCTGGGGAGAGACTAGGACCAACCTGACTGGAGTTTGTATTAAGGACTACTTTGTGACAATAAGAGCAGCACAACGCGATTACTTTCCTGCTCTTCTTGTGTCCACAGAGTGCCATTTAGCAGCCCAGTTGAGGGTGACCTGAACTTTCTCTGGGAAGGGGGTGTCAGAGCAATACCTTGCAGGCCACTGTGAGTATCATGCTAAGCAGCTGAGGGATAAAATCACTCGGATCTGCTCCAAACTGGATTCCACTGGGCAGGTCCTTTCGGGTTGGCTGAGGCAAGGTCTTGCCCTGTTATCTGGGAAGAGTTTCATCCTGTGAGTCTTGAGGAGCAGGTTCTCGGAGTTGTTAGTGCAGCAACCTGTATGTTAGATCCATGTCCCTCCTGCCTGGTCAAGGCCACCTGGAAGATAATGTGTCACTGCTGGCTTCGTTTTTGAGTGAAGGGGGGGTTCCCCCTTCCTTGAAAGAAGTAGCAAGTGCTCCCTCCTCAAGAAACCATAACTGGATCCAAGGATAGTGGACAATTTGCATTTAATATCTCACTTCCCCTTTTGAGGAAAAGTTGAGGAGAAGGTAGTTGAGCTGCAGTTCCAGAGAATCCTGGAAGAAACAGATTATCTGGAATCTTTTCAGGCCGGGATATAATATTAAGACAGCATTGATTGCACTTGATCTCAGGCAGGACCAGGAGAGAGGCAGTGCAACTCTCCTGCTCCTTCTTGATTTCTTAGCAGCCTTCAAGACCATTGATTGTGATACCCAGCTGGACTGACATTGGGGTATGGGAAGCACTGGCTTTCCTTCTGTCTCTTGGGTTGGTGTGTGGAAGTGGTAAAAGTGAGAGAGCAAGCCTTAAGCCTCCTCAGAGATCAGTGCTCTCCCCTCTCATATTTAACATGAGGCTGCTGGGAGAGGTCATCTGATGGCACAGGGTCAAGTGTTCTAAGCATGCTGATGAGTCCCAGTTATCCATCTTGACCCTTTGGCTATCCAAGTTATGCTTTTGAGACATTGTCCCGGGGGCTGGAGGCTGTTAGGGTCTGGATGGGAGAAACAGTCTTGAGCTCAACCCTAGCAAGACTGAATCGCTTTGAGTGCAGAGATCAGTTGCGTCTGAGAATTTACTATATTTAGTTCTCATGCGGTTGCACTTCCCCAGGTGAAACTGTGCACAATTGGGGTCCTCCTGGACTTATGGCTCTTGCTGAAAGAGCAAGTGGCAGCTGTGGCCAAGGAGGACGTTGCACAGATCCATCTTGTGCACCAATTGTACCCTTTTCTAAATCCACAGACCCTTCTCAGTGTCATTCATGCCCTAGTCACCTCCTATTTGGACTATTACAATGTGCTCTATAGGGGGCTGCTATTGAAGACTGCTTGAAACTTCCAATTGATCCAGAATGTAGCTGCATAAGTAGTTATGGGTGCATCTCTGTTTTGCAAGTGTCCTGGTTACCAGTTGGTTTCTGAGTGCCAGTCAAGGTACTGGTTGTCATCTATAAAGCCCTGGATTGGGCCCTGGATATTTTTGGGACTATGTTTCTCCAGTTGTCTGCCTGTCTTATAAGATCTAGCAGGGTGGATGTCATTGGGTCCCATCTACAGAACAATGCCATTTTGTGGGACCCCAGAGATGTGCCTTCTCTGTTGCTGCTCCTGCCCCCTGGAACAGCATTCCGCCTGAGGTTGGCTTGGCCCCAACTCTGCTGACCTTCAGGAAAGCATTAAAAATTTGCTTTTCAAGCAAGCTCTGGGTTGGACAATTTGTGAATGGTTACTGTTTGAATTTTTCTTTTTTTCCAGTGCACTGCAGCTGTTGTATTTGGTCCTGCAGGGGTTTTTAGTGCTGTTTTTAACCCATTGTATCCTGCTTTGAGTTAGTTCAATTAGGTGACCCTATAAATTGAAGAAGTAAATCCATTTACAGAAAATAGTGACACAGCTCTGGGTCTCTTGGCATTATTAACATCCCCTTTAATGCATTTTCTGCTCTCCTCCTGTTCAGTTACTTTGGGGGACAAGAACACGAACATCATCTCAGAATGCTATTTGCTTGATAAGCCCACCACGCCCCCAGTAGTGCTAATGGATGGTCTTGCATCTGGGGGGAACAACTATGATTAGCTGCTTTCTCTTCATTGCACATCGATGCTAACTGCTTTGGTTCAAAATCTGTTTTGTTGTGTCTAGCCTGGCAGACTGGTTTATACTTTCACAAGATAGCTAGATTACAAACCAGCTTCAGCCTGTGGTTGCAGTCCCAGTTTGGTTCAATTGGTTCCTAATTGGCCAGTTCAAATGTAGCAGCAGACCATGGTTCGTGGCATAGATGAATTGGTAACCAGGATGGAGGATCCAAGGGGAGGAGAAAGCAGGGTCCTCAGGGCTCCTTCTTGTGGTGCAGCTGTAGGGTAGCTGAACATCCACAAGCCTTACTGAGTAGGAAAAATGGGGCTGGGGGAGGGCCTCAGACTTGCCAGGAATGGCCCAAGACCGTTACTTTATTGCTGCTGGACTCCAAGTAAGAGTTTCTGATATAAAGACCTTGACTCTAACACTGCGAAGTAAATGCAGATCTTATATATGAGGGGCCTGACGCTGACCTGCGCTGAAGGAAGTGGTTGTGGCTTGTGGGTTTTAAACCTCCTCCTCCTCCTCCTCCTCTTAGGCTTTCCAGTTGGGCCCCACAGAAGCCTCTTACTACTGGGTCTACTGGGTGCCTACTCAGTACGTGGATGCAATCAAGGATACGGTGCTAGGGAAGTGGCAGTACTTTTGAAGGCACGCTCACCTCTGGCACAGGAGACTGAGACAGACCTTAAGGACACTGCTGGAAGAGGCCTGGATGTGAGTTATCCTGGAACTTCTTAATCAACACGATCTCGGAGAGGTCTGGAGGACGCCAGAGGTGGGGATCTCTCGCCATTAGTTTATTTTTAACTTAAAGCAGTGCAGCAGCAGCAGCTCTTGTTCTGCAGCAGCTTCAACCATATTTAAAAAAAGCAAATACAATGGAAATCAATAAATCTTAATTTACAAACCACTGTGTGTAATACACTTCAACTCTGCCAAGGGCAGCTCTTCAGATTTCAACAAAAAAACAAAACCAATACATCACTGTGGATTTTCTACATGATTTGGACAAGAGGCGGATATTTTCATAATTCTTCATATAAAAGTATTATTGTTTGAGCTATGGGCTTGTAATTGGGAATCTGAAAAAATAGGTTTTACTCGGTCTCTTTTCTTGGAACATTAAAGAAAACTTTTGAACCGTATGTAAACTTGGGTTTTCATAAGCCATTCTCTTCCTTGTCCTTAGCGTTTTGTAACCTTTCCAGTATCAATGTGGTACAGTTTCCACTCTGAACTCAAAGAGGATCAACTCCTTTTAAATTTTGTGGTGAATCTTTCCATGTCTGTCACTAAGGGAGGAAGGGGTGATGTGGGAGATGTGCCATCAAACTGACACATTGCTTACTTGGATGTGTTTTGTTATTCTTTCCCCTCTCCCACTTCTGCTGCCCTAATCGGAGGAACCTAAGTTGCCTTAAGAAACTTTTTTTTGGCCATTTCTCTTAATAATCCAAGAGTGCTTTGCTCTTCTGGTGCTACTGTTGCTGCTTTGTGGATTTAGGATTTGGCATTTTCTTTCCACGGTGTAAAGGGTGTTTGCTTAGAGCAGTGCATCCTGCTGGAACTCTTGGAAGAAATCGTGTCTTCTGAGCTAGCAGATGCAACCGAAGGTCTTGGAGCCAGTGTGGGTGCCAGGTCACAGCCACCTTCTTCTTTGGGGCTTTGGTTCCAGGCCTGCTAGTTCTGGAATGCCAATTTTCATTTTAGTTTTCCTTTTCTGTTCTTTTCTTTTTTGAAAACTGTGCTGGGGAATTGCGCTCACAGACCTTTTGTATTTCTTGGCAGACTTAAAGGGCCATCTTCTGGTGCTATTTTATCTATCTAGTGCCCTGGAAATGGTAAATTTTAAAGAGGCCTGGGAATCGTAGCAAGCTCCTATGGAGGCTGTTTTCTACAAATAACCAGGTTAGAGATTGGTTGTTATTCTGAAAATTATGAAGCCATGGAAGAGGAAAAGAATCCAGAAAAAAATAGACATGTTGGTCTATTTATTCTGTGTAATTTATTCTGCATAATTTAGCAGATAAAATTATTCTGAGTATATTTATGACAAATAAAAACATAAAATGTCTTAATTTTACTCAAACAGTACCTTACAAATATACCTAGTATTAAAGATAGCCCTCCAAGCTGCTGTATCCTAAGATAGATCTAAGGAAAGATTTTTGTAACACTTATGCATATAGTTATAATAAATTCCATTGAACTCAGTAGGATTTCCTTGAAGTAAGCTTTGCAAGTAGGAGAAAGTAGAATTTTCAAAAATAGAAATTACCAAAATTGTAATGACTAAAGGAAGACTTTACTACCTGGCAAATTTTATGTAGACCTAAGTAACATTATGAAACTTATCTTTTTAGAGAGAGCTCACAGAAAATAAATATTCCTATAAATGAAATTAAGGTGTGGTAATAATAAACTTGATCACATTGAACTCTTATCTTACTTGTATTTATCTTAGTCTATCAACTTTGGTGTATGTGGTCCCTCTGCTATCGTCAACAACTCTGAGGTTGAATACACTGGAAACAGGCGCTGTGCAGTCTTAAACAAGTTCTCCATAAGTAAATTTCACTGGGTTCAACCAGCTTATTTGTACATCAATGTGCTGAGAGTTGCAGCCTAAAGAGATTGTCACGTACCTTTGATCTGTGATTGGACTCTGTGGCCTGAATAGAACCAAGGGCCCATGGAAACAGGATGGAAAACAAGTTTCAGAATTTTGTGCCCATGATTTATATTGGTCTCTCTTGCATTTTGGCTGCTAATATACCCTTGGCAGTTCTTGCTTAGTTCAAGTGTATCTGCAATAACAAATTTTCAGTGGTCTGGGGCTGAGTTGCTCTATGGATGCTGGTTTCCCTGAGGCTTCGAGTAAGCAGGAACTTCTGTTCCGAAACTCAGCCAGCCTCCAAGTCATGTTGCTCTCCTGGAGGGGGGAGGAGAGATTGTAACCTCCCCCCCCCCCCCCTCCCCCCCCCCCCCCCCCCCCCCCCCC